ACTCCGTTACGCGGTGCTAGGGATTCAAACCTCCAAACTGCCGACCTTTGTGATCGACAAGCTCAGCGTCTTAGCCACTGAGCCACTGTGTCTCTATAACACTGAATGTTCAAAACTATTTGCCCTTAATTAGGTCTTCCTTGAGTTTATCCCCTCCCCTTTTAAAACCATCCAAGTTAATGGCCATTGCCACATCCTGTGATAACGAATTTCACAGTTTAATTATGAGCTGTGAGAACCTCTGTCTGTTTTAGATTTCCTTCCAGACCCTTATTCTGAATAGCCTCAAGTTTTACTTCTTTGAGAGAGGGAGAAATTCTCCTCTCCTTCTCCACACCATGCATAATGTTATGCATTTGTGTAATTGGAATAATAATGAATACAAATAAAACCCCAGGTTTTAAACTGCCCCAAACATTTTAACCATGATTGAACCCTTTGATCGTTCCGGCTTCCCTCTTCTGTACCCCTTGCAGCTGTCATGTCATGCCAAACAATATGCTGTGCAATATTTTTGTTCCTGTAATTTATAAGAAATAGCAAAAGCTGAAGACTGGAATGTGTAAAAAAAAATCACTGTGTGTGTGTTTACTATTCGGTAGGATCAGTAGAACAGAGGTGTTAGACTAGGAATAATGAAGATCTGTTAATATAAGAAGGGCTGTGGAGTATGGTTGGATAAAACATGTGAGGCTGCTTCAAAAATAAAATACGGAAAAGAAGAAGTCTACATATTCAGACCTGAGCTTTTTAGAAGGAAGTGACAAGAAAATAATGATCAGGGCCATGTCTTCTAATTTAGCTCAAACAGAATGCTAGTTTGAATTAATCCTGAATTTCAGTGTATAGCCCCACTGTTTCATCTTAAAGAGCATATACTTTGCATCCAGGAAAAGGTCAGCTTTGGTCCAGGGTTCTTCCAAATTAAAGGTTTTTAGGAAGCCAAATCTTTAAGAATTGCCACTAGCCGGAATGGAAAATATCTCCCCGATAATCAAATAAATCCATTCACTATAAACCAGATTTACACACGCATGTTTCTATTCTTAAACTGTCAAGATATTTGAATGTTCGTTTTATTTCCTTGCAGAGTTAGATAATTTATTTTTAAATGTGTATTTGAATTTTGGCAAATGCCAGTAAGGCAAATCTCATGGCCTATATAAGATATACCCATTAGGCCATTCATGAATAAAAAATAGAATCGTTTCCTGAATCAACATTTTTTAACAATATTGAATATTGTGCCTAGCAACACTTCATATTATACAAATGAAACTTTTTGTTCCAGTCTGTCCTTCACCAAAGGAAACCTTGTGAGAAAAACATACCTCTACTTGGGTTATGTAATAACAAATACCAATGCTGAATACACAAAAGAGAAACTTGTTTTCCTGTAATTAAAGTTCATTATCTAAAAGGAACATCATATTAACTGTGCTGGAGAACTGAGCTTTTTCTCCCTGAACAATGTGTTACTAAATTAAGCTGAATATGATGAACACTTATATTAAGAAACACTATTCAGAAAATAGACAAAGTAAATGTAAAATGTAAATGCTGTTAATATAAAGAAAAGGACATACAAATTCTATGAATTTAATATAAAAATGTTAATGTTTTCAATCTTTATGCCTAGGCTTTTAAAAAAAAAAACAAAAGGAAGCAAGCCAATGAGATAATCCACGTTTTACTGTAACCCTATTAAATAAGTTATTGATAGCAGCTGCAGACTGATCTTTGAATGAACAAATTCTATGGATTTAATATAAAAATGCTAACTTTTTTAATCTTTATGGCTAGGCTTTTTTAAACAAGGAAGCAAACCAATGAGATGAAACATATGTTACTGCAACCCTATTAAATAAGTTGCTGATAGCAGCTGCAGTCTGATCTTTGGATGAACGAATCTATGAAAAATATATTATCATCTTAACAAAGAAAAAGAAAACAAAATCAAAGTAGTAGCTTTGGAGGAGAGTCATAAGCAAACAGATAAAAATAATACATCTGTTGTGAACATACTTACGAAATAAGCAGTGGAAATAAGATTGACAGATAGTTAACAGATTGAATGAGATACCATCCAAACCAACGCCAAGGATTTTCACATAGGGTTTAAAGCCAAGCCTGAAGAGCTCACACTCGCAGATTTAGTCTGGTAGTAACTGCTTATTAAATGTACTTATAACCAAAATAAGAGTAGGCGGTCAGAAATATGTTTCTGAGCCAGGATGTAAATATATATACTACATTCTCAAGGCAACGAGTGATGGCTGGCATGCTCGGAGATGGCTCTGCGTGCCACTTCTGGCATGCGTGCCATAGGTTCGCCATCACAGTCCTATAGTGAGCAGTAGAGGGATGTAATTAAAGTGGACACCCAACGAAGGGAAAAACTACACGAGCCTGCTCTGATCTGGAAATAGAAAGTACAGTCCTAGAACAGTCTTACTATGGAGGAAACCGCACTGAACACACTTGAGGCTTAACACTTGCGTCTTATGGCAATGCTCAGGGCTCCTATGTCACATTATCTCAGTGTCTGAACACCGAAGACTTTTGAATCATCAGCATTTGGAGAATAATAAAAAGCTTTTCGGTTTGGGGTATGCCATTTTAAGGTTCAAAACAGTCATTTTAAATGACAGGGCATCTTTCACTCATATAAATATATTGCACCACTTCAATTCCTCCACCCCGTAACTGGTGAAGGGTCAGAAAAGCCAAACCCTTAATTAAGGTTACAAGTCTGATGCAGCCTCTGTCATTTGGGGTGCCGTTTCACAAGAAGAAGACACTATGATCTGAAATGTAATTAAAGGGCAGACTAGGATCTTATGGGTGGGCCACTACTTAAAAAGCTTAAAGTACTTGGGTTGACATTTAGTGGTTGGGATGTTTCAGGAGGATCAAGGAAAAAAATGAATCTACTCACCTTTTTTTGTTCTGTTTAAAGCCCGCTGACTTGCATTCGGAGCGTGTGGAATCTCTCCCTCTGTACTTTGAATCTGCAGAAGAAAATTAGTGCATTTTTAAACCTATGCTCACAGGCAATAAGCTTTCTAGTGAATATGCATGGAATTTATACCTTGCACAATTGGCTATTTAGTAATTAACAATTCCAAACACAATAACCTTGGCAAGCCAAAGGAGTCGATTATTGCTGTTTATTATTATGGTGTATCTTTTTCAGACTTCCTGGAGTGATAATGCTGAAGTTGGAACACAGGAACAATAAAATGTGAAAAAGCCGTGACATCAGTAATTTAGGATAAAAGGCTTTTTTAAGAACAATGGTGCAGAGCAAAAATAAAAAATAAATCAGCAGAACATCCCATGGGGTTTGCTTTTAGAAAACTTTTAGGCAAACAAAGACAGAGAGTTGTTAGTTCAGTAGGAGGGATGTGGGGGGAAAGAAAGCTGTAAAGCTGACTCAAACTCAGAAAACCATGATAGCTAGTTTGTACATTTCACAAATGTCTTGTTCAGGGTCTACGTTAAAAAGGAGAAGAAGAACAGGGGAAAGGAGAAAAAAATATATTCAAGGTAAGGTTTCTATTCTATCGGCAACTTTCATGAAACTTTCTAATTTTCTTTCTCAGTGCTCCACAAACCTTCAAACCTAAATAAAGACTCCTGAAAAATTAAAAGCTACCGCAGATTGCTTTCATTTTTAGTTGATGCTGTGTTTCAGAATATGGCAGATTCATCCTCCAACGATTACAAATTAAAAACACAATGTCTTACACTGGGAAATACTGCAAGCTTCAGTTTGCATGTCCCCCTCGGAAACAGCAAAAGGAAACTAGACAGGAAGTTTTCGTTTAAAGAGGGAAAAAAAACAGGGTCCATTTTTTATCTATGTCACAAGACAATTGATAGCAGCTCTCTGGGCTAACTTGTTCCTTGTGCAAAAATCTAATTAACTTTAAGACTTTAAAATATTTTGGATAATCTGATCCAAAGCTACCAATCCAAGGAAATATACCTATGTTTAATAGCAACTGAGAGCTAGGAAATTATGAATGCATTCAACTTTCAATAGATACAAACTGAATGTAATCCACTCTAATCTTGATTGCAGGAAAAACTATTTCAGCAATAGAATAGTAAAAGTGTGGAACATCCTACCTGATCCTGTTGTTAGTTCCTCTAACCCCCCATACCTTTTACCTTACGCTGTCTACTGTATACCTTATGCCTACTGTCCCTGTCCTCCTGTCCCATTTATATGTGCTCTTTTTAAATGTTTATGGCTATATTTTGCTTATTTATATGCATTTATTTGTGCCATTTTTTTCATGTGTTTTCATACTTGTTTCCTTGCACTTGCAGACAAATAATAAATAAATAAACAAACAAACTTCTACGCCCAAAAGTCGTATTTTTCCCTCCTTTTAATAAACAAATGAACAATACTATGAACCCACGTGCCACAAACAACACACCTGGCAGGAGCATAAGATGACAAGCTGATAGGAGCATAAGATCTTGGTGAAGTCCCAAGTATATATATAGAGCCGAGGTGGCGCAGTGGTTAGGGTGCAGTACTGCAAGCCACTTCAGCTGACTGTTTATCTGCAGTTCGGCAGTTCAAATCTCACCGGCTCAGGGTTGA